GCTATTACATTTTTTTCAGTATCTTTTTCTCGCCTTCTGTGATTTACTGCGAACCATTAATGCCGATTTTTTGTAGAGTTCTCATGTCAAGTTTATTCATGGTTACGTTGAAATACCTCTTGCTTATTTCCCAAAAAGGATGCTTAATATAAGTTTTGTCGCTGAATGAAATCTAAGTAGGGTTTCACTCAGGGCGCTAATTAGGTAGAACACTAAACAATAGATAACTAGACGCCCTAAAGGCGTATACTCGGGCTACCTGTGTATAATAGAATGTAGAACTTTAAAGGGAAAACAGAGAGCACTAGTTAATGGAAATGGTACTGGAATGGTGCAAGTGATGTTAAAATAGCGCATTTCAAATAGTTAGTGGGTTGCATGCTGCAGGCCTGTCATAGGTTTCGGCTTTTTTCTCCATTATTAATTTTATAAACGTAATGGTAATCGTAAGGAACGGACCAATCACTGGGCTCATTATGATGATGAAGATTTCGAAGCTGGCGGGAAAATAATTAAGATTCGGCTTGCGTCGCATTCATTCACACTAGATCGTAAGATTCTGAAGATTGCGATTGCGACTACGACTACGATTACGATGCTAAYGACGCTAGTGTGAATAAGGCTTAACGTAACACATGGAAGACAACTGTTTGCTTTAGACAGCTATTTCTTAGTAGTGAATATCGTAAGCCAGGTAACCTAAGCTAAACAACCGGTATTTCGCGTTTATTAGCGAATCAAGTTTTCGATCGAGAACAAAAGATATAGAGTTTGTGTCTTTACAGTGCGGCTACTCGAAGCAAGGCCCCAAACAAATTTTAAATGAAATATACAAAGGTGGCGTTTTTGAAGCTGAATAACAGGATGGTGTCGACTAATTTAAAGTGTTTGTTGTTGAATTCTCATATGCTAGCTTTTACAGTAAATCGAAAATTTGAAAAATTTTGTGCCGATTTTGTCGTTTAAATACTTAATCGCTATTGGTTAATTGGTGTGAAAAATTTGTTTGGGTGGTTTTGGTTGGAGTAGTTGCATAGTAACAACCAATGAAATTGTACGCGAGAAATTCGAATGTGTTTTACAGTAAAATCTTAGTGATACTACACTTCTCAGTTGAGCTGTTAAGTTCGGCGGGACACAGGTTTTGTGACGACGTTTTGTCCATAAAATGTGCATGTTGTCAAGGGCAACGTCAAAAGATATCAATAGCAATATCAATCAAAATGTTTTTTTCCACGCTTGTTCGCCGCTGTGGGCTTTGTTCACTGTCACTGTGGATATATTTTGATGTTGCCCTTGACAACATACCTTTTGTTTCGAGCGAAAAAGTGGTTGGGTAATAAACGCGAGGTGGTCTCAGTTGAATTAGCAGCACTGTAAAAGATACATGAAGTTTACAGTTCATTTTCGTCAGTCCTAAYCGTATATTCACGAGTTTGCCATACGAGGCATTTGATTTTCCAAACATTGCAACCTATCATACAACGTCGATTTTCCCACAAAACAACCTAAAAATAGTTACTTTCTGGTAATGCCGCTCGGCCAATAAGATTACGAGGTTATCTTGCGAGAATGCTGATTGGTCCATTTCAACTTTCAGCTGGGTCGTGATTGGTTTATATTTCAAGTTATGTCCGGAGATTTTGGAATTCTTCATCAGACTTGCATGTGCACTTCTTGGCTGGTGGAAGTTTTACGAGTAGTCTAAGCTATGGATAAAGTAGGTTATGTTCAAAACTTATCCCCTTCTAAAAGAGGGAAACGAAAAAATACCTCTTACTTCGACTTCAGCTTGCAAACTGGCGAGCACAGTTTCAAGCGTGCTGTTTGTTTTGATGAAAGACTTAAACCRTCTTTCGAAGAGTAYCAGACATCAGGAATTCCTGTAAAAATTCGCAACTGCACGTACAAGCCAAACTGGTACGAACCAGAGAACTTAGACATCGTGATAAATAACAGGTCTAGAGTAGAAGAAGCAGCAAATACAGAGGTGAATTTTGAAATCAGTGCGTGTCCTAGAGAGGATGCTGAAGCTCCCGAGTACCAGGTTTTAGATATATCATCGGTACGAGTTGGCTAACTCCTTACTGTGAAAGGTTTACTTAAAATGGATAAGACCAGAATCCGCACTGTTGAAGTTAACGGAAATTCCAAAACCTTACTAGATGCCTGTACAATCACAGACAGCACAGGTAATTTCAAACTCGCTATATATTTTAATTAGTAAATCTGTTGCCTTTTTWAAAGTTTTTTTYCCCACTACACCGTAGGCTCCATCAAAGTGACTATTTGGGGTGATATGGTCAACACGCTAACRGCTGGCCGGTGTTACAAGTTAAGTGGCGTGAGAGTGAAAGAATACAGCGCAAAAAWTTTTCTGACGACTACGCCAAACACCGTCTACGAAGAAATCGATGAAGAGTTTCCGGAGCCAGAGATTGATCTTCTGGACACACTAAGGTCTATCGCAGTGCAAGAGGTACTGATGATTAACAACTTCTCATCTTGGTATATCTGCAAAAATTGCAAAAAGCAGTTAACTCAGGTAAGTTAATAAGTAAACCGAAGCTTTTGAGTATTGCTTATATGATAACATCAGAGAGTGAAAACCCTTCTGTGCAAACTTTCGGATAATAGAAAATTATTTAAGAGAAGAAATCGTCGTTACCCATCATCAGGCCTAGGTACGTGATGCTAATTTTAGAATTTCTTTTTCCAATCTCGTACCCAGRCAATCTCGTACCCAGAGCCCTTATTTCTTACTACGCATGCTGGACGAAATAATTATTTCGTCGAGCATGCGCAGTAAGAAATAAGGGCTCTGGGTACGAGATTGCTCTTTTTCTAGATGGATTGTTTTTCTGTGCATGCGCACTTGAGGTAGTATGACTATTTCAGGATGCATTTTCAGATCAAGCATATTAAATTATTTTGTAAAATCTTTTAAAAAATAAATTTTATAACAAGCAACGGTTCCTTGTTAGTTATAAATAATTATCATACTTAATGCAATTATAAACAATATATGAATAAATGAATACATTTAATCTGTAGGTATCTACAATACAAGCGGTGAAATGCATGTTGTGCAAGGCTGTCGTGCAAGTGTGCGGATTGCTATTGCAGATGATGAAGATAATCCACTCTGGTTAACCGTTTTCAATGATGAGCTTCAGATCATAATCCAGAATCAAGATCCACAGCTTAATGCGTCATCATCAGAGGATGACGTTACAAGTGCACTTTTGAGTTCATCTGGTATGACCATCCAGTATGACATAGAAACTAACATTGTAAAAGCTGTCACATTTTAAGACTTTTTCCTGTACTCAAGTCTTGGTTGCGTTTACTTGTCTATATATGGCAAGCCGATTGTAGCTATATTCAAATGAGCAATTATATTCAACCTTCAACCCTTCGTTGAATGAATGGGTTGAAGGTTGAATAAAGAGGTTGAAGGTTGAATGAATGGGATGAAGTTGAATAAAGGGGTTGAAGGTTGAATAAAGGGGTTGAAGGTTGAGGTAGGTTGAATGTTGAATGAATGGGTTGAAGGTTTAAGAAGGGGTTGAAGGCTTAATGAATGGGTTGAAGGCTGAATGAATGGGTTGAAGGTTGCATGAATAAAGAGTTTGAAGGTTGAATGAAGGGGTTGGAGGTTGAATAAAGGGTTTGAATGTTGAATGTAAATCTGTAGGGTTTAATATTAAATCAAAATGCTGAATTGAATATTGCTACAATTGGTTTGCCATGAACTTGTGATTTTAGTATAAGCTGATATTTAGATAACATAGAATTATACCATTCCCTTAGAAAGATTGATTGTTGGCCATTATATTATAAATTATGTCTAAAACAGGAGATTGAAGACCTCATGCCCATATCCTGTGTCATGGGTTTCTGTTTTGTTTGTTGTTGTTTTTTTTTTGTGAAGGTTAGCAAATCAAATTGTAAGTGACTCCAGTTATAGCTAGAGGTTTATTATGGATTGTTGTAGGTAAGATCACCACAGATCTTATGGCTTTGAAGTACTTGTCCATTTAAAATTAATGTGAATCAATGAATAGTTCTTTGTCTACTTAGTACTCGTATTGTGGTTAATAATTTGCAACTTAGTGACTTATTGTTCGTTTACGGATTTTAATTACTTTCGTTGATGACAGTCAACTTTTGCAATACTAGGAATTATTTGTTGAGTTTGTAAATTACAAAATTTATGCATATTGTGGTTGGTTAAAGGCATTTTAATAGTCCAGTTTCGAATTCTCCCGCGCCTCTGCATAACCGCTATATTTCGTACAGCGGGCGCGCTTTTGGGGCATGAATGCGAGGCTCCCAC